TTACAGTTATAATGACTTCCATTCTAAATCCTAAACAAGGTCAATCTTAAGATTAGATGACCTCAAAAATCAATGCTGGTGTAACTGTAAAATGGAACACTTGTTGTAAGGACAGAATCAATTAACTGTTCTAATTAGGTATCCATTCTAAAGAGGGAAATCTCGACACTAACACCATTAACCAACTTTAATATCAAATCTGGAATGTGTATCCAAATTAAATGCCCACATATCTACATCATTTCATTTGAGCCCTCAATACTAGTTTAAATGTTGTTGTATTATTTTAATTTTATAGTAGGTTAGTTTTATATATCTTTCGCATTAATCTGGCTAATTTTATTCAATTCAATTCAACTTATATATCGGTTAATCTGTAAATATTCTTGTATTATACATAATTTGATTGGTTCTAGACCCATTGGTTTGCCCATTGGACATAATTCTGGTGTTTTATTAACATTAGATTACAGTACATCACAGGCATACACATGTTATTTTTTATATTCTCAATGCTTTTTATGAAATGTATTTTTCATCAATGTTATTTGATTTTTTTTTATCTTTGTAGATTATACAAAAATTCACAAGTCAACTTTGAACTTTTGCTATGAATAATATTGAATATAGATATGAGTGTGCATTGTCCATCTTGGACTTTTTTCAAATTCAAACTCATAAATATAAACTTTAACATGAATTTTTTTTATCTTTGTAGATTATACAACAAATCACAAGTCAACTTTGAACTTTTGCTATGAATAATATTGAATATAGATATGTGTGTGCATTGTCCATCTTGGACTTTTTTCAAATTCAAACTCATAAATATAAACTTTAACAATGAAAATAAAGCAAATAAAGGACAAAGAATATGATTTTCATTATAAACATAGACAGCTATCTGGAATAACATCATAAACCATCATCATCTTTTGTAAAGTGCTTCTCACAGGGAATAATAAAATAATTACAGACTTGTGTACAATTTTTAGTGAGCAGACCTATACCTTCAGTACTTACGCTTCCAAATAACATTTAAAAATAAAGAATTATTAATTAAATATACCTTATTATCAAATATATTAACATTAAATGTGTTTTGCTTGTTGATAAAATACTATAATAGAACATAAAATAAAATATAATTATCATATATGAAAACAAATACAGTAACTCAAGGGCACGCAACATTATAAAAAAAAATATTGTACCAATAATAATAATAATAATAATGCATTTATAATGCGCCATCTATCTAGGTAAACCTATTCCGACGCGCACACAAACAACACCAATACATACCATTATATGGATGTAGAACCTGGAGAAAAGGTTTTAATATCATAAAAAACAAGTCACAAATAAATTTCTTTCTAAATAAATACAAGTATTCAGCTATGTTTTATATAAAGCGGCTTTTACATAATCATCAACAGATATCCTATTCAGTGACAAAATTCCCTATCTACGAGCAAACACAAACTGAACAATGGGCCTAAGTGAAAGGAAAAAACCATGTTCTCAGTTCAGAAGTTTTAAAACAAACCAGAATATTTTATATTTACTAACACAGCAGGAAGAATATTGACAGAAATACCAATAAATAACAAAAAATCTACCTACCATAATGACGTTTTTTAGCAGGTACATTTTTCAGAATGAAGAGACAATAAAAGGTTGTGGGCTAATGCACTTGTCGAACAATGCCGGAGAATTATGTGTAACGGAATCGAAAGGTACTTAGAAACAGGAAACGTATTTCCTGCTAAGTTTTTCAATCTCTCTTCAGGAAGGAGAGAGACAATCGGATAGTCCATATATGGGCGTGGGTATGGCTTTGGTAGAATAGAGATGGTATAATTATCCTTACCAGGTGTAATAGTAGTATATTGTTGAAGTTTATTGGGCCAATCAGCCATAATTCTATGCCATCACTATGGCAGAGTAGAAAAATTAAAGAAGTGGGTAAGACATTTGTATACCCTCTAATTTAAAAATCTTAATACAGTAGTTATCTATGGTACCCTATATACCAAGTTCTCTTCTTTAAATGGTAATTTTATGATATAATATGCACAATGTAGGCCTACTACATACTTACAGATTAGTATTTTTTTGATAAAAATATAGAATGTACTATGAACTATATAAACTATTCTATAATGTTGTTTAATTTGTTTATGAATCTGCTGTGACATTTATTTTTTCCCTTTATTGTTACCACTCAAATAATGGAAGAATGTCTAGTCAGTGCCTTATTTAAGGATATGTTAGATATTTTACATATGATGATAATGCTATATGCAACACAAAAAAATTAGTAAAATGTAGTTAAAAGTCATGCATTTAATATTGCACAGGTTCAAGCATAAAACAAGTGGGGAATAAAACTGTTTTCTGCAAAATAAATGGAATAGACTGCTCAAACCGTAATTTTGTCAATGCCTTCGTGTCCCCCTGCACTTATGTAGTGTTTAAAACTATACATTACACTGGTTACGTATGGAACTATGGTTTGGCTGGCCTTGGGCAACTTGTTAGTGTCTTGGTATGGTCATTGTGGAGGAAGAATAGGGTGAGGTAATGTAGACCCCCTACTGTAAATGCCTAAACTTGAAAGAAAATAAGTTATATATATATATATATATATTATGATGAACCTTGATGTTCTTCAATTTTATGATTCTATTATTACGTATGAAATTTTAAACAATGCTGAATAAATCAAAACACAAGCCTTGACCTTTTGGAATAGAAAGTATAAAATGAGTATTTTCAAATTATATTATGACATAACTAGAACTTACTATTTTGTTACTTTGTATTATATATAGTATTTTGTACTTTATCTTTTGTGCATTACAAAATGCCATGTTATTGAAACACTACTAAAATAACACTATGCAGAGATAAACACAATCCCTCCAAAGCACATTTCCCACAAATACTGCTATTCATCAATTTATTGCCAGGCTCCAGAGAGACAAAATTTTATAATATTTTGTACCAACAGACAATTCAATTCCCTGAAGGAGTTTTTGATGGAATAATCGTAAACAGTTAAGACACACAATTTTGAATATCAAAAAGCTGGAGGAAAATGAGGTATTAATATCCCCAGTTTTCTAATCCTAATTGTTAATATTTAAAAAAAGCCAATAATGAAAAATACGGAATCACAATTCCAGCGGTCCAATGTCTTTCCCAAGCAGCAGGAGCCTCCCTGAAATCCAGACGGTCTCCCGCACTTCCGCAAGCAAGCAAGAATCTCTGGAAAAATAAGTATCTCCCACAAATTCCTAATTTTTGCAAGTTTTTACTGCTTTATTATCAGTGCCGACGGGTGTCACCATGTGTTGCAAACTAACATTATAAGTGTTAAGGAAGCTCATTTAAACCATACTTCCCGGAAGGGACTTTTTCCACCATACGACCCCTGCAATTCCAGGCCCAGCTAACTTGTGACAAGAGGTCTTGTTTTTATGGTTTTGCAGACCATACAACAACCAGGAGTTAGAGACTATATATAGTTCATGATTTACATCAGTTTTATTTTGCGCTAGAGCGCCAGTCATCATCTTACTGGTGTGTAATCATAAATTTTTATGAAAGGCAGTGAAAATTTCAGAGAAAACACCCACTGATTTATCTAAAATATAGTTTACATGAATCACTTCGGCTAAATATGATAAATGCTGTGTCATGTCATGATATGACAAGCCTTTAATTGAAAATTGCACAAAATACTGAAATTACATTAAGCAGTAGACATTCAAACCTGCAGGGAGCCTATTTTTATTATCATTATAAAGTGATTATATTTTCATTTCTCAATTTTAATTAAAAATGTTTTCATTGTTTAAGGTTAGCCTGAATGTCATTATGACACATATTTTTTTAATGTTTTAAACATAGTAAATTAATTTGTAAAGTGAAATGAAGTATATTATAACCACTGACCATGATTAAGCAAATAACAATTAAGTTTTAATGTTCTCTAATTAATGCTATAATTTTTTTTAATGCCATTCTTTTCTCTCTTCTTTTTGTTGCTCCTTCCTTTACTCCTACAATTAGCACTGAGTAAGGTATATAATATCAATTTTTTATATGTAAATATCATGCAATTCAGTCTCCTGACTGCAATTTGAATTAAAAATGGTAATCATGATGGTGGTACTGAGGATGGTTGTAATGTACTGATGATATGAATACTATTTAATGGTTATTGATGGAAAATAATGATGATGATGATAAGATAATGGTGATGATAGTAAGGATAATGATGACACAGTATATAAAATTTGAAACCTTAAATAGACCTCTAATGGGAAGAGTTAATTTCATAATTTAATTAGGCCGATATCCTTCTTCTACAACTTTCACCAATAAAGCCATATGGAAAGATCATTATGTTTGTATCACTACCACCAGTAATGTTTGTAAAATGTAATGCGACATAGTAGAGAATGCAAGGCAATGAGGTTACTGACACTAAGCACATACAAAGTCAATATCCCCATTAATATTGGATATCCTACCAGAATCTACAAGAGTTTGAGGCATTTTGCAAGCATGGCATTTTGTTTACAATACTGCCTCACTTTTCTTTTACTGACAATCAATGCCGTAGCCCGCATTTTCAAACTGTGTGGGACAACATCAGGATGGATCCATTTTATGCGTAAATTCAAATAATGTGGACCCATTTTCCTGTCCCATTTTACGCAAAAATATGAATAATGTGGACACATTTTCTTAAAAATTGACCCATTATACGCAAAATACAAGAAATCTGGCCCATTTTCTTAAAAGTTGACCCTTTTTACACAAAAGATGAGAAATCTTAACATATTATTAAAACGTGGACTCCTTGTTTGTGGACCCAATAGAAAAATTGTCCGGGACTGTACCAACAGCTGGATACGGCATTGCTGACAATATTAGTAAACCAGATACTCGGATCTAATATAATTTATGATAAAAAAAAAATCTACCTTAAACCTGAGTGCACTTCTGGCAAAGAGTTTGACCTCTTACGGAGCATCATTGGTGATTGCTTTAAAATACGATATTTTGTCTTCGCAGAGAGCATCTTGAAAAACGTAGTGTCAGAATAAGCTTTTTAACAAAAAATGGTTGAGATCAAATATAAAAACACAAAAATTCTCTGACTCATAGAGTCCTTTCTCTGAAATGACCTCTGAACTCGTTGAAACCCGGTTGAATGATTTTGGCAAAAGCTTCCTTGATCAATAGATAAACTTCACAATAGTACTTAAGTTCGAGTCTTAACATTAAATGTAACAGCTACTAATAGGTTCTTTGCATAGGAAGATAAATACCCCTTTCGCCATTCTTTCCGTTTCCCATAAAATATAGCGTACATATATCTGTGTGACGAACTGCATGCACCTTATTTCTGGTTCCTATTTTAGATCCTGTTAGTCGTAATCACATTTGAAGCATTACTTTGAGGAAGCAGATAGGTAAGTCGGGAAAGTAAAATATTCTTCTCGGAAATGCTTGTTACCAATCAGCGATCCGTCACGCTATTAAAAAAATCTAACATTGTGAGGCACTAGGAAACCAATTTCGTCTGAAATCCTGTGACGCCTTCTACTAATAGCAAACAGTTCCATACTATGATATCAGTTTTAAATCATTAAATTGTCAAAATAGAATATGATAGACTTAACTACCAGTTCATCTGCGCAGTGACGCATTCCCCATAAAACTTAAACCTGCTGATACTATGTACTTCAGCAAGGTCGAAGATATTTAAATATAAACAAAAAAACTTTAATTATATCAGATTTATAATTTACTATCTATGGTAAGTACTCAATCTTACAAAGTAATATTAAATTATTATTCTGAAATTAACCCCATATCCATGGTCAAATCTCTGTAGATTATTTTTGCCATATATTGTATCACTGTTGGTAACTAAATTAAAGACCTTCAAACCATAGACTGATCAACTTCAAGGAAAGTAAAATTAATAAAATTATATTAGCATTTTAGAATGCCAAATTTCAATAATCTTATGCAAAACAGTAATAAGTAGTTTATCAAAATGGTTACTAGGTGTGATGGCAAGAAGTGTGATAATAACAAAAGAACAGTAAATGCACCAATAATTTTATGTTTATAAAAAGTTTTTTACAAAAGTATTATAGCTAGTGTAGGACACTATATAAAAGGAAAATTGTTATGAATATTGAACTTCTACTCAGAAACATTTGATAAAATAACTGAACTAGGTCTATACTGGTAGTTGATAAAAAAAAAAAAAAAAAGATAAAATTGTTGTACATCCACAATATATATGAAAATATCATGGTTTCAAGAAAAACGGTACACAAGGTAAAATCTTTACTTTTAAAGACAGGTGGAGATGCTGTTGGACAAAGACAATAAACTTTTTTTTCTCTACTGCAACCAGTACAAATTTTCAATGAGATTTAACAATAAAACTAAATATTACAAGTTGACGCTAAGTTAATGACACGTCAGCCTTCTTCAACTACTACATGGATGCTAAGAAGCTGGCACCGAGATATCAATGTGTCAGATAGAGGAATAGATCAATCAATCAATCAATCAATTAATCAGTTAATCAATAAATTTATTCAGATATCACCCTACAACAGCAGTATACCATCAAGCTTTGCTTCTTAATGAAATGAAAATAATTGAAATAAAAAGTACAAGGTAAAAAGTCTTCATAGCTTATTAGTGAATAAAATAAATTACCAAGAGACAAAAAAAAAACAAAACAAAAAAACAAAAAAAACAATCTAGTCAGCAAAATAAAATGGAGACAAAAATAAGTACAATTAAAATTTTATATGTATGTATGTATACTGTTAACATTGTTTGAGCAATATATTCGTGTTGGACATTTTCACAACAACCTGTGTTTCTATAATTGACATAAAATTATGAAAATGGAGAACTTCTAAGTCTGTACAAATAAGAAGGGATTGGGACATGTTGCTCAAGTTAAGAACATATGAAAACTCTTGCACTAATGTATATATTCTTTGAAGAAAGTGCCTACCAATCGTTAACACACAAACACTATCTACTTAAAATCAAAATAAAATGATTAACTACATACCAATTTCGTCTACAGGTTTATTGTAAATCACAGTTGCTGAAATAACTATCACACATTTCATCAAATAACATATTTTCACATATAACAAATATGCAAAACATTAGTTATTGAAAAAAAAGAAGCTAGCTAGCAGAGATTGTTCAAAAAAGCACCAAGAATACCCGATTCATTATCCCATTGACGTTAATACTCAAATTGTCAAAAGTATACTGACACTGTGTTAGAGTATAGATTCCCCGGTTGCTGAATCAATAATAGTGGTGAATTATCTGCGACATACCATGAACATCATATAGGTATTAATATGGCAATGTGTTGCCAGGATCCATCTCATCAGAGAAGGTCAATTATTTGATTGCCTTGGATACACCAATTGAGTCAAATAAATCATCATCATCATCTTACTTGTCTTGCAACTTTCATTAATATACAGTAACCTACAAATACCTGCAAGGCTTATGTGTAGTTCTATCCAGCAAGGACAGATATTGTTTTTGTTACCTTGGCTTAGTTTATTTATAAAACTACAAGTATCAGTATTACATGGAAGGAGCTGTAACGTGAGATTGAGCCTAATGAATAACGAACAATCAGATATTTCAATGTGGAGAGAAGGGGAAAAAGAGAAAAAAATTGATATGAATACAGTCTGTAAAAAAATTAAGAGGAGACAAGAACAGATATAAAAATAATTAGGTATGAAAGAGATAGTACATGATAAAAATATATCTTTAATCCGCTTTAAGGTCTTTCTTTTTGCATAATTTTGTAAATTTGGAGGGTATGAAAATCCCAGCTAACAATCTTAGTATGTTATAAGAACGTTATAATTAAACATTACAGTTTGGTGTTAAAAAAGTTATTTTGTAGAACAATAATTTTGTAAATTTGGAAAATTAATACATATTATCTTTTAATTTTTATTATTGATATTAAAAGCGGCAACAGGTTTTCTCTTCACCTTACCTTCTGTCGCCACCAGAAATTGTCCCAACCCCCTGTCAAATAACTTTCCCCCTACTTATTATAAATGCATTGCCACCACTGTATTGTATTGTACTGTATAATTGAAAGGGCTTTGATCTGTAGGGAATGCACTATAAAAATACATGTAGAAAGAGAAATTGATTGATTGATATTGAATTAATAATTAATAAAGTTGTTCTAGCAAAGATAGATATCACAGAATGGTATACTTGTTCAGGTCACTGAACCAATTAGAAGGACATGTGGGTAGGAAAATAGATTTTAGGTATAAATTTGGCAAGGTTTAATAGTGCTCATCAATTTACCAATCACAATACAATAATAAAACGAAATAAATACAGCTTACCACCCTTTTTAAATAATGTTAAATAAAATAATAACAATAATTATATTTTCTATTAGGCTAAATAAAATAAATTGCTATTTTCACTTTCCTACCCTCATAAAATGTTAGAGCCTCAAGAAAATACTTACTATTTGCCATTATTTTTTCCATGGAAAATGAAGTAATGATGATTTGATAGATTTTTGTCAAAGCAGTAACATAAATGACAGAATGCATTACAAAGATTCATTTTAATTTATAAAAAAAAACAACAAAAAAAATTTTTTTATTATTAATCTAGTCTGTTTACCGCTAGTATATAAGATGGTAAATAGCAAATAGTAAATACACCTCACCAAAAATCATTTCAAATTCCGGATGTGAAACTAGAATTTAAATTCATTTGGCCATATCAGAACTCTGAAATATTTCCAGAAAATAGATCAAGGCAGAGACAATTAAAGAAATGCAGTATGTTTTTTAATTCTTCAGCTTTTTCAATTGATGAAATTGGGCCTAATATTAATTATAATGTTAAACAATGATGATGTCATATAAATTATTATCAACTGATTCGGTCTCAAAAGAAGATCTGCTGGTCAGTGTTTAAATCAAACAAATCTAGCTACCTCTAGAATTTTCAAAACATTATTGACCACCAGAGGGCAGCATTTACAAGATTTAACATTCCTGTTTTAGAAAGAATTATAAATACTATTACTGTATTCCGTCGTCTGGTTAAAAATTTAATTTTGTATCTTCTTTCAGTATATTTTCCAAATCATATATAAAAATTTAATTATCTCTCAAATGTCATCAAACATTCTCTTACTTTGAGGTTAATCAAGTTTACTCAGTTATCGTCAGTTGGTTTATAATTTCATTTCCATTTAAGTTTTCACAAATATATATTTCTTTTCCTAATTGGAATAGATATTAGTGTTTTACATACATATAAAATAAATTTTTAATAAATATGGTAAATATAAAATTTGGTCTGTATTTTAATATTATATTGGAGTATATTAAGCAAACATGTAGTTCTTTATTATGGATACTAAGATATTATCCAGGTAACAACTTAATTTTTAATTCATTAGGAAAAAAAATAATCGAGGTACTTAAAATATACTGGTTTAAACATAAAATAATACGGATGATTATTTTACCGGGAGTCTAGTTTATTATAGAATTCATAGATGTCAACTATTGGACAAAGGAAAAACCTCTAAAAAAGTTAACAAGATGCCAAGAAATAGGATTAATATGATTTTATATTCTCGAAATTTCATTTTTTTTCCTAATTGTAAATTATACATCTAGCCAATGAACTGCAGCATTTGTTAAAAAACAACACATCTAAATATGGATCACTTTATGAGACACTTCCCCACAGAGACACATTTCAAATCAGGGTTTCTGAAACATGAATGCGTTGGGGAGACATAAATTCACTTAACATTGTAATTAGCATTAAAAACCTCACGAGAAAGCCTGTCAAATGTGCAAATCAAAATTCTGGTTGTTCACCACCTTCAATAAAGATAACCCAAGAGAGACTTGATAACAAAGATAAGCACAGAAAAATTTAGAGGCCATAACTGAGGCAAGCATGGAGATGAGATTAATGTGGGTGTTGGGAGATGATGCGGCACGATGCCGAATCATTTACCTCCACTTCGGGTAATGGATCTTTATGAGGGGCATTACCATATTAGTCATCTACCTCAGAGTTTCACAGATTTCAACTTTACACTTTAAAGAGTGATTGATCATCTAGGACATATTGGAATTCTCAACGCACTTTAAACCTTTACAAGAAACTATCCCAAGATACAGACAAAATAACCATTACATCTGTAGTTGTGGAATCACACTATCAATATAAAAACAACAATATAATATATAAAACATATAAATCAAATATAAAACAAAATAAAATCAAAATACATGAACAAAAATAATAATAATTAATAATAATGTTTATTAGGATTTATTAAGTATATTTGCATATATTCATCCTTAATATTTTAAAAAGCCAAGTTGTAAAAAAAAAATTACACTTCACAGAAAAAGCCTACCCACATGTCTGGTAAAAATTGCATACTATGTGCAATAACAATTATTACGGCTTAATTTGAAAACCGTATTCAAGAAACAAAGTTATTATTGTAAATTTTAATTGCTAATGACACGTACAGATGTATGCGCTAAG